ATATTTCCGACACACTTGAAAATTTTAGTTTGGATGTAATGTTGCACTTAAGAACCCCATTATAAAAATTTGTGAGCCCGACATCATCATTTGCACTGTATGTGCTAAGGAAATTTGAATTTATTTGATTAACGTCTTGTAGATGAGAAGGTAAATGCTTTGTTTTAGCTCTGCTGTAAATGTCTAATTTTTTTAGTTCTTTCTATAAATTTCTAGAGGAAGTATTACGAAGCTTGTATTCCAGATACGCTTTTTTATCTTGCTTAATTGCAAAAGATGTATAGCTACGTAACGTTTTGTAATATTCCCAGTGGGCTGCTTTGTGTGTACGTTTAAATTTCCTATATGCTTTGTCTCTTAGTCCCATCATAAATTTGACGTTATTTGTAAGCCAAAGGGCATATGGTTTAGAAATTTTTATAGTTTTTATAAAGGTATGCCTATTAAACAGGGAGAGAATGGACTCGTTAAGAAACTCAATTTTATCGTTAATATCATGCATTTCGTAAATCATGTGTCAGTTAATAGATTCTAGATCATTTTGGAAATCATTGAGATCAAAATATTCAAAACTGCGGTAAGTATAGAAAGTATTGTATTTATTTAAATTGTCATGTAAGCGATAATCGCAGTATATCAATGAGTGATCGGAAACATGATGCATATCGACAACGCCACAATGCACTAATTTTGAGCTATCAGATTGATTATTATGTACTAAAATTAAGTCTATTAGCGAAGCTGAATCTCGAGTAATTCTTGTGGGTTCTGATATAATTTGCGTCAAACCAAGGGCATCAATCGTCACATTAAATTGTACACACTGCACATCATTAAATTTTAGGAGGTCTATGTTGAAATCTCCTAGGCAGAGGAGTTCATCGGTACTGGGCAAAAGAGCAGTGAGAGAATCCTCCAACACTGATAAAAATTCAGCGCAGCTAAATTCCTGTCTCCTATATATGTAGGTACATATAGCTCCAATTGATAGTGTTAACCCATTTATTTTAATTTTGACCCAAATTTGTTCTATAGCTGCACATGTGGCTGCAACATTTATAACCGAAAAAGTAATATCATTTCTGATGTACATACCAACTCCTCCACCTCTTGTGCTAGTGACTCTATCTTTTCTAATAAATTTATATCCCTGTATTTGTACTGCATAATCCAAAATATTAGGCGACAACCACGATTCGCTTACCGCCACCACATCATAATTTGCAGTCAGTACGTGGTCTTTAAAATCAGAAAAATTATTTAACAATGACTGTACATTTAAGTGTGATATCTTTAGAATACTAGACATTTAACTGAAAGAAAAAATAATATACAAAAGTAAAATAACTGTATATACACATACATAATCTTTAACCTCTTATAAAATGTGAGAAAATATGGTAATATAAAATCATCAAATAGTTATTTGTTTCATTAGTACAAAAAATGTCAGTTTTCGGGACGAGGAAGATAGTTGCTGGACGACGCGTTAGCGGAGTCCAGCAACCTTCCGAGTCCCGAAAACGCATTTTTTGTACGAATAAAACATAAAATTTTTTCTCCAACCCGCTTTACTTCAAATTATATTCGAATTTAGATTCAGTCACAGTTTCACTACTAGCGTTGAGTGAAGGATCTTTCACTCAACGCTACTAGTATAAGAACTTCTGCTTTCTTGTCCTCACGTGTCATGCCACTCTAGTTTTTAAGTTAACTTATAACCTTTCGTTCTTACTTCTTACTTCTCACCTCTCGCGACTTTGTAGGGAGCAAATCTTGAGGTAGCATGTTCTGCCGTTTCTATAATCTCTGGCGGAGTGCAATCCTTGTCGCTATCAGTTTCAGTCATTTTATTGTATACACAATAAATATTGTTATATTTTGCATTGAAATAAAAAACTTACCATACAGTTTTTTAATTAAAATTAATTGCAATTAACTTTTTCAAATTTTGATTTCAAAATGACAGATAATAGTGCAATGGGTCTGAAGTAGATGGCGTTACGCGCGACGGCGGGTTGTATACGTATTAAAATTACGTTCACGGAATATGTAAATTACGTTACACATGGTTTAAATAAAAATAGCGAGCGTAAATTATTTTCAATACATGTACATACGTATAGGTAACATCATTATCTGCATTGAATATGCAAAAATATTTGATTTGTATGTATAGAAATATCTTACAACCTCCAATGTAAAACGATGTCAATGTGACATATCTCCGTGATTGTAATTTTTTAATTGGCCAACTTTCAAGGTCAATTTGTTTTTGGTACTAGGACCAAAAGTATCCACTTTTTGTACAGTTGCCATGGTGAAAGCGATTAATCCGCAAAACGTCAATTTTAGGTACCGAACACTGTCACAAAATAGCGTCTTATTCAGGTGGTTGGAGAAAAAAATATGTTGTTAACATGGTTTTGGTACTTAAGTAAATAAAATCTAATTAAAATTAAAAAGAAAAAACTTATATACATCTTAGTGAACATCATTAAAGTCTATTTCAGATTTAATGACAAATATCTTGCTGTTGTCCACTTTACGCATAGCAATTTGTCCGTTACGTACCCAAACATACTTAATATTGTTCCGTTTTGCATATTCTCTTGCTTTAGCAAACAACACGCGATTCGTGAAAGTTAAGGACTCATTAATAAATATGCTACTATTAGGGTTAACTGATGGAAGTCTAGAATACATTTCGCCCAGATCGCTCACTTGTATGTTGCGTTTTACCTTCTTGCGGGCTAAAAGTTCATCTTTATCCAATCTGCTGACAAATTTGACAATGATAGCTCTCGGTTCATTCGGTTTATTAGGATTCTTGGATAACCTATGACACGCGTCTATCATACAGATAACACAACCGCCTGGCCCACAGCAGTAACGACGTTAACAATATTTTCATTCTGGATTTCCGGTACACCTTTAATTTCGACACAGTTTTTGCGCGAGTACTGCTCAACTTCGTTTAACCTCACTCATAAATCGTTGTTTTCTTTAACCAGGTTTTTATTTACATTTTCCAGTGCTTCAATTTTGCTCAAACATTATTCGATCCTTGCATCTTGTGCTTTGAACAGCTCAACATTATAGTCTATTTTTTCATGACATGAATCCAATGATTTGGCAAACGAATCCTGATTATTCTTTAAGGAGATCATAAGATTATATAGTTGGTCCAATGTAACAGGATGAATTGGGGTGTCTAACTCAGGATCAGATGGAAGCATGGACTTTTTGGTTACACATCCAGTAGCGCAGGCGTTGCATTTCCATGTTTTGTCGCTATTACTTGAAACAAGTTTCTGAAATTCCTCAATTTCAATATCGACGCACGCAATATGAAAGAACTCCCGACAAGTGCTGCACATAATGGAGTCTTCATATCGGCCAACTTTCTTAACACAACTAACACACACAATACCGCGATTTGTTAGTGACATTTCTTAATTATATGATAATGAAGTAAGTTATAAACACAAATTACTTTTATAAATACACCTATAATAATTGTTAAGAGCGATAAGTAACACGTCCGCACCATTCCAAGTCTAAATCTACTCTGATTAACATTAACATTAATGATTAACATTAACATTAACTAATTAATTAATAAAAATGCTTAAATTGATTCTTATTTGACGTATTTCCGGTATTTGTCGATGGCGCGAAAGATTGTTTGGAAAAGGACCATACACTTTTAGGTAAGCCTTGGAAAATTAAACAAATGAAACACGATGTATTATAAAATAATAACAGCTGTAATTTGTAAATTATTCTACTGTGTTTAGATTCAGAAAGTGCAGTTTTTTGAATTTGTAATCTTTTCTAAAATGCCGATTTCTAACCAAGAAGCATTTAATATGCTGGCAGCGATGGTTTGTGGTCGAGTCGGATAACGCAAATAGAAGATGCGGGCAGCGATGGTCGCATTTTGAAAATACTCAAAATATATCGCCAGCATATTAAATGCTTCTTGGGTAGAAATCGGCATTTTATAAAACATTACAAATTCAAAAAACTACACTTTCTGAATGTAAACACAGCAGAATAATTTACAAATTACGACTGTATTATTTTATAATGCATCGTGTTTCATTTGTTTAATTTTCCAAGGCCTACCTAAAAGTGTAGGGTGATTTTCTTTCGTGCCATCGACAAATACCGGAAATACGTAAAAAGTAAATTTAAGATACAATTTAAGCATTTTTATTAATTTTATTTTTTTTTAATTTTATTTTATTGCCTTTATTTTATAGAGGGCGGAGTGTTAGCAATTAGCTATTCTTCCCACTCAACCCACTATACAATCACAAATTAATTAATCTTATTTTTCCAATATTTGAGGTTAGGACCGAGATTTTGAAAAACGGTTTTCACTGGCCTCTTTGGATGTTATTAGGATACCTTTTCATTAAAAAAAGTCATATTTTTTATATTTTTTTAGGATATTGGGTCAAAGTGTCAAAACTAGTGCCCTGGCAGAGAAGGATTTAACCAAATTAACTATATTTTGATTGATTTTCATTGCCCAATGAATGCTCTTTTCAATTTGTTAAAATCGGTCAAACGGGTAAAAAGTTAAAGCAGGTTATTGCAAAAACAATTGAACGCCCCACACCATCTTTGTTTTTGAAACAACTGAGTTTTTGTTTTTACGAAAATGATAGATAAACTGGTTCTCTTTAAAAATGCGAAAAAAAATTGTTTAGTTTATTATACGAAATATAAAGAAAATGCAATTTTAAAATTTAAGATGGCAGTTACGCCGTCTGTTGGTCATTTTTAGAACTTGAAAATATTTTCCAGCGATTCTTCGTGACCGATTTACCCAATAATTTTGTTACCTCTAAATCATATGACGAACGGTTTTCGAGATATGGCCGAGGAACAGTCTTATTGGGTCACCCGGTACAAGGAGAGATGATAAAATTCTAAATTTCAATTTTGATTTGCTTGACCTAGCTCGACGGGTGTTTTGTGAGTCGTGTAGTGACCGGATACAATGGTATGCACACAGCAATGCATAACAAAATAACAAAATTTGAACAAAATCCGTCGAACCGTTACCTAGGAAAACGGCCAACCGGGCCAACGCACAATGTACATAGACAAGTACTTACGTACATACAGACGGAAAATTTTATTCTTTCAAATTTGCTTAAAATGATCTAAAATGTCAACATTTGATGAAATCACAAACGGCGATCGCAATTATACCCACCTAGCTCAAGCGAGTCATGCAAAAAATTTTAATTGCCCATTGACGGAATGAGTACCAGACTTTAAATTAGCAGGACAAATTAGCACAAAATGAGACCAAATTAATGCAATGAACAATTTTGAAAATACCAATGTTGACACTACAGCGCGCAGTTGTGAGGTGAGTGTCATCAGAAAAAAATGAATTACCTACTCATTAACGTGATGAGCACAAAATTTTTAATTAGCAGCACAAAATTATATGAGATACTTGGAATTTAATTCCTTTCGAGTCGACCCTCCAACTATACGGACCCGGAAAATCTGCTCGGCGATAATGTCAAACTTTGGGGCCCACTATACTCAGTCGAGCAACGCCCTAATATTTTGACGGTTGAAGAGACACCTTTAGGAATTACTGAGCTAACCATGAGTAAATTAAAAAATCATTGTCATATTCAAATTGTTTGCCAGTGCAGTAGAGATTCAATTTTAATACCTACATGCAAGTGGGGTTTGCAACCCTTCTAAATGTATCCAAGACCGTCACATCAGATGTGGCTGTAAATAAAATGGAAGTTAATGAAGCATGATTGAATGGAAAGTACCGTTAATGTTGACGTCTAGTCATAATTAGCACTTGCATATTTAACAATGCAATCAAAATATTAATTATTAGTAACGCCGACCTTAATTAAACAATTAAAAAATACGGTATTGCAGATTTGTACATTCTGCTTTTTACCATGCAAGTTAAACGTTTCACCATAGAAAAGAGGCTTCTCCAATATAGCGCTGCTATCACTGGTGAGTGAAAGTTCTTGTTTTTTTTTATTGGAAAAGAGTGCACTAGGTTTGTTGGTGCCTCTCTGTAACGGGTTACACTTTGGATGGACTTCGCCGTATCTGCCGGTACTCCTCGGTGAAGATTCCCCAATTCCGATGACTGCGGATGAATCATCTTGGGTGGGTAACATGTTCCTTCTGGGTGGTTTGAGTGGCTGCCTTTTGCTGAGTATTGTGGGACGGCTAATTGGAAGAAAATCGATTGTGTTATGGTCAAGCGTGCCATTTTTTGCGTCATGGCTACTAATCGCGTTTGCAACTTCGTTACCACAGCTCTTAATTGGTCGGTACATAGGAGGCATCGGCGCGGGAGTGGCGATTCCAACCCTCCCGATTTACATCAGTGAAATATCCGATAAAGAAATACGAGGGATGTTGTGCTCTGCAGTGTCGGTCGTCTTCTTCTTGGGCATTATGCTGATAAATGTGATTGGAGCGTATGTGACTATCAAAATGGCGTCGTTAGTCTGCCTGCCCGTACCCATACTTCTGTTCGTCCTCTTTTTCTGGATGCCTGAGTCGCCGAACTATCTACTGATGAAAGGCAAACATGATGAAGCGAGACAAAACTTTGTTGCACTGAAAGGATCTGAAGACGCCAACCACAAGTTAGACGTGGTTGCGAAAGCTATTCAGGAAGAAAGTTTAAACAAAACCAACTTCATCTCAATATTAAAAAGAAACAACCACAGGAAACTGCTGACGTTAGTGGGTCTACGTGCTACTCAACAATTTAGTGGAGTTACTGCTTTTAATTTCTACGCGCTAACGGTTTTTGCGGAAGGGAGCACCTTCTCATCGCCGTTATTCGGAGTGCTCATCTTTTACGCGGTCGAAATTGTGTTCTCCGTACTGAGCTCGCTCCTGGTGGATAAATTGGGGAGGAAACCTTTACTCATATCCTCTTCAATTGGTGCAATTTGTGCTTTGCTTGGCGGAGGATCGTTCTTCTATCTCCGAGACGTGACAAAAGTCGACACTTCCAACGTGTCATTTTTACCAACGTTCATTTTGATTACCTTCACCTTCAGCTACAGTTTAGGCTTACAGGCGATACCTAGCTTTATGGCCGCCGAACTGTTCTCAACGAACCTGAAACCCTACGCCGGCACGTTGGGGCAAACGCTTTTCTACGTGTTCGGAATAATGTCGACGAAATACTTTCAGTTTACCAAAGATTACTACGGATTTTTCGTTCCATTTTGGAGTTTCGCCGTCTGCTGTACCATCGGATTGGTTGTTCTCGTTATATTTATGCCTGAAACTAAAAACAAGACTTTGGAGGATATTCAAATAGAGCTAAACCGTTAACCTAAGCCTAGAGTTTCCCACTCTTTGTCGGTCGGCGACAGTACCTTTTAGAAAAATATGGAAAAACAGTACCCTACCACAGTAAAATTCTGAAGTGGTGTAGGTATGAGGAACACTTTTGTATTACTTTTGTGATATTTACTACTGTGGGCGCACGTTTGTGAAAACTAAATAAAAAATTGTTTTCTTTACCGTATTATTTAGTGCCCTTGGATATAATTCGCTGTATCGTACAAAGACTATATCTCCGAAAGTAGTTTTTTCAGTTTCAAAACAGCATTTTGTTAAGCTTCAAAATATGCAACTTTGCCAAATTTAAACTACCTACCTATCTCCTACAGTTTCCCTCGAATTTGAATCAGCCCGTATAACAGCATGAACGATGCATTTAAGACTTTGTTTGAAAGATGCTTCCCATTAATCCACGCCAACAACTTTTTATATTCTTTATTGCATTTGGATTTTACAGCTACCAACTTTCAAGATTCAAGATTCAAGATTCAAGATTTATTATTCCTGCTGGATTATAAATAATTTACAGGAGTCATACATGTAATATTTATAAGTATAAAATTGCAAACATACACACCGACATACACACCGACATACACACCTACACACGCACTCTCACATTCACTTTTATTCTGCTGATGCAACAAGCCACTGAATATCTTCTTCAACCGAAGTCATTTTACTTACAAATGCTCGTTTCGCGTGCTTTAAATACTTGGTTACACACTTGTTTCTTAATATAGTATTTTAGGGTTGTCAAGCAGATTATTTTTTCGATTATGTGTCAATAATGCAATAATAAAAAAGTTGTTGACCTTCAAGTTTGATTTCGCGACCATCAATTGCTCTGGACTGCAAAACGAGCTGCCTCGTAGTCACAATATTTTTGGCGACCGTGACAGGACATCTTTTGATCGTGTTTCGCGAAATAACAGTGGAAGAAGAAAGAGTGCTATTGAGCTTATACGCGTGTAGTATATTTATTTATTTATTATTTATTTTTATTTATTTATTTATTTATTTATTTATTTATTTATTTATTTATTTATTTATTTATTTATTTATTTAACTCAACTCAACAGGCCTTCGCCCAATTACAGAGTGACCCGTATAATGCTTTTTAGAGGTGCCCCTGCAGATAAGTTGTTCTATACTACTCCGGTATTTACCTTACGAATTAGGAAAATTGCAGGAAAACCTAATTCGGAGTAGCCGGCAGAATGCTCGAAGCTGATCTAAGGAAATTCCTATCTCTGCCACAGATGAAAAATTCCCCTCAACCCAGCTTCGAACACCCGACCTCCCGGCTATGTAGCCCAACGTTCTACCACTGAGTCACACAGACGGATCTTTACGTTTAACAGTGACTTCATTGCAGTCCGAAAAGAATCGAACCGTTGGTTCAATACCTTCCTGGAAGATGTTTCGTATCACCATTCTGTCTCTTTATGTACAGGATGCGGCAATGATCGATTTATGAAAACTAGATGTTCTTGGTATCACCATTGTTTAAATACTTTAACAATGGTATCACCGAATTGTCTGAGAAGGAAGATCAGGTAAATTTTTACTTCTTAAAATAACACAAACGTTATGTTGCAATTCAAATAAAATCAAATTTTTGTTAAAGAGTTCAGTTTTTTGTCGAGCAACCTAAAGCCTTATCTGACCAATTTACAAAGATTTTCTTTACTACTGCCATCTACCAAAAAATGACTAAGGTAAATTGTTAATTTTATGTAAAAGAAGAAGGAAAATTTTACGGTACCTCTTAAGTAATATCCCACGGAATTGTTGATTCCATTTTCCTGCGTGGGTTGGTAATGGCTTATTCCAATAATGCGCAGAAAAAAATTTTCCCACCTATCCTTCCTGATTAATTGATTAATTAATTACTGAGATCGGGCCCGTTTTTTCACGAGAAAATCTGATTAGTTTGTACCCCACGAATTTTATTGTGCACCTCGTCCTTCTAGATCAACCTAGTAGTCCTTGTTCTAAGTACGTAATTACCACGAGTTTAGAGAAAGAAAAAACCCCTTCTCCCGAATCCTATTGCACCGTCGTGCGCACATGTATTACTCATTCTTGTTTTTCGTGTTGTTGTGTTACCACGTTTACGGGCTGCGACAGTGTTTTGTTTTCGTTTTTTGTTACTATGGGAAAGCGTAAGATTTTTAAAGTTTCGCCTCGCAAAAGGCGGCGAACTGAGCGGGCGGACAAGAAAAATAAAAAGATCGCGTTAGAAGTACTACTTAATTTACGGCGTGTTTCGCGTTCGACTTCGAGGGACGCCATTTTATCAGCTGACCGACATCCCGGGGCAACAGCCGTGGTTTCACCGGCATTGACAACGTCTTCTTCTCAGTCAACGACACCGCGAGGAGAAGATCGCTTTTTACAAGCTGATGTGGATTTCGCTTCGCCGCAGCCCCATTCCAGCCATTCCCATTCTCCGACACACGTGTTATTGAACCCTGTGTTGAGATTGGGCGCTTTGGAAGAGGCACGGGTTTTTGACCCTGAAAGTAAGTCTTCCCGAAATACTGCTAACATGTGTTAACAGTATTGCCTTGTTTCGAAAATGTTTTCGAAAGGCACAGAGGAAGGAGGTTAGTTGCACCTCTAATGGTAAGCGAACGTTTTACCTGACGACCTTGGTTGGTAGAAAACCCTTAAGTACTGGCAACATGTGTTGGCTATGTACGGCTTTTCTCGAAAATGTTTTCGAGATGGATCAGGCGAGAGGTGTGTCGTTACCTCTTGGCTTACCTTTGGTGTTGTTGCCTCCTTCCTTTTCGGAACCGGTTTTCGAATAATAAAGCTATTTTTCTTTTCCGTCAAGAAGATGGAGTTTTAACTTTGGTTTTCGTCACAGGTTTTGTGGAAGAGAACGACCAGAATGTTCCAGCTAATGAGCAGTTAAGTGACAATGTTTTGTCACTTTTAGGTGAATTTAATCCCCCGAAGAGGGATTTGTCGGTTGCCGTGCATCCAGCTGTGGCTGATCGATGGGAAAATATTTTAAAGTCTGGATTGGATGCTGCAGCAGTAGCCACCTTTGTGCAAAAATATCCTCCAGCGGAAAATTGTACGTTCATGGGAGTACCCAAACTAAATCCTGAGATTGAGGCTGCTTTCACCGAGGCACTTAAAGGACGGGATGCAAGATTGTCTAAATTGCAAGGCAATTTGGGAGCAGCTTTAGCAGCCATTGGAAAAGGGCTAAGCCTGTGTCTGCAAGAAGGGGAGGGGATACACTTCCCTCTACCTTTAATAGAGTGTCTCAGCGATGCTGGACGGCTAATAGCTGATTGCCATTATCAGCATTCGATGGCCCGGCGTTTCATTGCAACGTCAAACATAAACAAATCTTCTCGGGCCACATTGACGAAGGCTCCGATTGGAGATTGGTTGTTTGGCGATGCTCTATCTGAGAGAGTAAAGGCAGCAAAAGTGCTAGAGCGAGCCTCTAATGACCTTAAGGTTCAGAAGGTGACCTCCACCCAGTTTCGCAGTAAGGGGCCTAGTTCGTTAAACTCAAAGGGCCTGTCACGTTTACCCGACAACAGTCGCCGGGGCAGGCCAAACTTTTCATTTCGTCGGGACCGTCAACCACAACCAATGCTGTCCGGGACAAAGAAACATCCAGTGCTACAACAGCGGCAGCGATGGCAGAACAAATCCCGACATTACCGTTAGAGGTAAGACGATACTGTGGACGTCTTGGCACTTTTCTGCGGGCATGGAGGGCCATCACAAGTGATACTAAGGTGTTGTCCTGGATTCAGGGATATAAAATCCCGTTTATTAAAAAACAGTACAATTCTCCATTCCTAGGGAGCATGTCTGGTCTGCGTCTGAACAACAGATTGTTCGCTTGCATTTGGACAAGCTTATATCTATAGGAGCTGTTAGTACTTGTCGTTATGAGAAGGATCAGTTTGTTTCGAATATTTTTTTAGTACCAAAACCAGACGGTTCCCATAGACTAATTTTAAACCTTAAAATTTTAAATACTTTCTTAGATACACAACATTTTAAATTAGAAGATTTCAGGACGGTTATTAAGCTGATAACCCCTGAGTGTTTTCTAGCATCATTAGATTTAAAGGATGCGTATCATTTGATACCTATTTTTTCTGGTCATAGAAAGTATTTGAGATTTCTTTTTGAAGGTAAGCTTTTTCAGTACAATTGTGTACCATTTGGTCTTAGTACGGCGCCACGTTTATTTACCAAGATTGTAAAGCCAATAGTGGCATGTTTAAGGAAACAAGGTTTCCTTTCTGTTGTGTACTTGGACGATTTCCTGCTTTTAGGTAGAGATTATGGCGCATGTAAGACGAATATTACGGCTACAATAGATACTCTAGAGAAATTAGGTTTCCTTATTAACTGGGAAAAAAGTCAACTTATTCCATCACAGACAATTAAATATTTAGGTTTCATTTTCAATTCAAGGGATATGACAGTGAGCCTTCCTCAGGAAAAACAAATTAAAATAAGGCGTTTCATGGATAGATTACAGAAACTATGTTCTTTTACTATTCGCGAATTTGCCAAATTTATTGGAAATGTAGTTTCAGTTTCTCCTGCTATTAAATATAGTTGGTTGTACTCAAAAAGATTTGAACAACAAAAATTCTTAGCGTTGAAGAGGGCTAATGGTAATTTTGAGGGAATAATGTCGTTAACTTCACCTATACTAGAGGATTTTGAGTGGTGGAAGACTCATTTGCATTTACCTAAGAGTCTAGAGCCGCCAAGGTTTTCCTTGGAAATTTTCAGTGATGCTTCTGCAACTGGTTGGGGAGCGGTATGTGCAGGAAAACGTACCCACGGTTTTTGGGATTGCGAGGAATTTAACACACATATTAATATTCGAGAGCTGCAAGCGGCATTTTTTGGGCTAAAATGCTTTGCAGCTAATCTTTTTGGGGCGAATATTCTTCTGAGAATTGATAACACTACGGCTGTCTCCTACATAAATCGAATGGGAGGTGTTCAATTTCCTCATCTAGATTCTTTGTCACGCAATATATGGCAATGGTGCGAGAAGAGGCAGCTGTGGTTGTATGCTTCTTACATTAGTTCGTCAGATAATGCCGAGGCAGATCGGGAGTCTCGGAGACTAACTCCTGACATGGAGTTCGAATTAGCGTCTTTCGCTTTTGAAAAGATTTGCCTTTATTTGCGTACACCGGAAGTTGATTTGTTCGCTTCAAGAAATAATACAAAATGTACACGTTATTTCTCGTTTTTAAGGGACCCTTATGCTGAATTAGTGGATGCTTTTACAGTTTCATGGAATGATTTGAACTTTTATGCTTTTCCACCTTTTAGTATTATTCCTAAGGTGATTCAGAAAATCATTTCTGATTCAGCAGAAGGAGTGTTAGTTGTCCCTTTTTGGTCTGCACAACCGTGGTGGCCCTCTTATACTGCCCTATTAATTAAACCTCCTCTGTACTTGAAGCCTCATCCAAGCTTACTTATGTCTGTTGACAGGTTGCCACATCCGCTACACCCGCAACTTACCCTGGTTGCAGGGCTTTTGTCGAGCAGGCGTTGAGTCTTAAGGGCGTCCCAAGAGAGGCGTTGGAGATATCGATAGCGTCACTCACGGATTCATCATTAAGGCAATATAATAGTAGCCTTCGCCTTTGGTGGATGTTTTGTAAAAACAGAAATGCTAATTGCTTTGACTTGGACATAAACGCCGTTTTATCTTTTTTAGTAGATCTGTTTAATCAGGGAGCTTCCTATGGAGTCCTTAATACTGCTAGGTCGGCATTAGCGTTACTTATCTCACCAAGTTTGGGACAGGATTTTAGGATTAGACGTTTCCTCAAGGGCGTTTTTAAGCTGCGTCCTTCATTGCCAAGATATGATTCAGTGTGGGATCCATGTATTGTTTTAAGATATCTGTCCACACTGGTACCTAATGAATCGATAGATTTATCTATGTTAGCCAAAAAAGCAGTAACCTTGCTAGCCTTAGTAACGGCCCACAGAGTCCAGACTTTCTCCTTGATAGAGATAGATAACATAACGTGTTCGAATGATAAGATGGAAATAAAAGTTCCTCTGCGGATTAAAACTTCGTCTCCGCGGGGTTTTCAACCGAATTTATCTTTTCCGTTTTTTAACGATAAGCCTGGACTCTGCGTAGCGCGTACATTGTTGGGTTACTTAGAGCGGACTAAGGGTTTGAGACCTATGCGGTCGAGCAAATTATTCCTAACCTCAAAACAACCCTTTAAGCCGGCGTCTTCTCAAACTCTTAGTCGTTGGATTAAGGACATGTTAGCCCGAAGTGGAGTAGATACATCGAGATTCACAGCTCACAGTACTCGCCATGCGGCAACTTCCGCAGCTGCGCGGAAGGGAGTAAGTCTGGATGTAATTAGATCTACGGCGGGATGGTCCCATTCCTCCCAAGTGTTTGCAAAATTCTACAACCGACCTCTTGTTGAGAGTCGCTCTGTTGCTAATGCAATATTAGATTTTAAGTAATAGTAACCTAAATATTTTGTATCGTTTTTTACACATTTAGAAGTTTTTCCTTTATAAAGTTTCTGTTTCATGATTGTGGGTTTTTATTGCAACTACTCTGAACATCTACTAGGTTGATCTAGAAGGACGAGGTGCACAATAAAATTTCTAGATTAAACGAACTTACCTCAAGTGAAGTTCAATCTAAATTTTATGAAGCACCTCGTCCGAATAGATCACAACCCGCCCACCCGATTCCCTTCTTTGGTGATCTATGGGTTAGTTGCAATACCCCTGAGACTCTAAAATAATGAGTAATACATGTGCGCACGACGGTGCAATAGGATTCGGGAGACGGGGTTTTTTCTTTCTCTAAACTCGTGGTAATTACGTACTTAGAACAAGGACTACTAGGTTGATCTATTCGGACGAGGTGCTTCATAAAATTTAGATTGAACTTCACTTGAGGTAAGTTCGTTTAATCTAGAAATTACACATGGTGACATACTATACTGTCACGTCACGTGATAGCACGTTAAGTACGAGACGCGTGAAAATACGCATCGGAAACATATTTCTATCACGTCACTCTTCTGTGGTGTCATGCTTGTTGCTTTAGGTGGTGGTTCATTCAAAGTAATGATTGTTCAAGCACCAGTTCTTCTGGTTCAGGGGAGGATATGGAAAATGTAACTACCTATAGGCAAAGAATACTTAATAATAAGAAGTACAACGGAATACGTTTCGTTGAAATAGTTATCTGTTAAATGTGTTGCCTAACCACATGAAATATTATTAATTAATCAACCTCCATGGCTATGCCTTGCAATGGCCTTGCAGGTTCCTACTTGCAATGTTGCCATATGCCATAACATCGTGCATATTTATTTAATATTATTTTGCAAATCGACCTTTGAACTCCTCATTATTTTCATACATCATTTAATTTTATACGTAGCAAGATGAAGTATTGTTTGCTATGTACCTAGGGAAATTTACTGTTATTTCGGCATTCGGTATGATTGTATTTCCTCTGGAATTAACACAATGGAAAATCTAAATCACCCCCTACACTTTACGAGAATACACGTTTTGAAGCACCAGGAATCCGGATCAAACAAAATCTCGATGTCGTCGATCTGGCTCTCTGTTGTGTTATTTTGCATAAAGCCAAATCATTTTAAAGTTTCCGCCGCGAAATTATTGAATCAATGAAGATTTTGCTGCAACATTCATAATAGGGATAAATGAACTCAAAGTGGCACTAGCTATAGAGATTTTGCGCTTTCTTTCTTTAGCCAGACATTCAAAATGGTAGTTAACAGACCCCCAAATTCTTTTTGTTTAGCATGGTCGAGTAAATCAAAAAGTTGCACATTGTTGCATCCGAACAATGCACAGTAAGCCATCGCGAAATTTTAATACTAAAAACTAATACAAAAATCCGATATACTAACTGATACCCAACCATCCTCGAGATTGTGTTTGGGCTGTAACTTTAGGACCCGATGGTCTACGTAGCTGAAAAACAGTAGTTCTTATTTGAACATGTTACATGTGTTATGTGTACCATTTTTCAAAGCGATTGGACGTTTCTAAACAAAGATATCGTGTAGGTACACGGAGAGACAGACAGTAATACAAATTATAAACGATCTCGAAGAAAGTATGGACGTAACGAGCACAAAACGCACCTATTCCTTGATCTTGCTGTACAATTACATTTTGTTTCATCTGACCAAGTAGAAAAAGGTCGCAGCATTGAATTTGACAGTTATAAATTCAAAGGTCCTCACCTAGGTGCAAACTATACCTACCTAAATGACGAGTATTCGCGCCTTCGATGCATGACAAGACAACTTCTCTGTAAATGCCTTTGGTAATGAGTTTGGTAATGAGTTTAAAAAAATTATGAATTGTTGTCAAATTGCGATATTTTGTTTATGTGTTTTCACTTCGTCGTTAGCGTTAGCGCCCTTGAATAAGGAATCTTTTTTATTCTGATATCAAGTAATTATTACGATTTGCTTATACGATGGTAGCGCTAAACATGTTATAATTAGGAGATTGGCGGTATCAGAGGCGGATCACCGCTCAGGCACAATAAGCTCGTGCTTGGGGCCTCATCTTGTCTGGGGGCCTCCAAAACTAATAACTAGCAAGAAAAAATCTCTGGGAAAAATTGATTTTTGTTTATTGTACGTCCTGGAATTTATAAACGACAACGACAACCCCCAATACCACTAAACTATTGTGGGATTGCAAAGCCATTGTGTCCAGATATATAAAGTATTACTTGACGGGCTGCAATCTACATTCCCTAATGTGGAAACTATTTTGAAAATATTTTTAACCATGTCTATTTGTAACGCTAGTGGCGAACGTTCCTTTTCCTGTCTTAAACGAGAAAAAATCATTTACGAAATTCTCTTGGCCAAAGTAATTTAAATAATTTGTCCGTCATGTTTATTGAGGCTGATATTGTACAATTATTGGACTATGAATTGCTCATTTTTCTTACCTTAAATCCAGAAAAGTTCCCTTATAAGTTGTAATAGTTTATAGGTAGGTACCTTAATATTGCAATAAAACGTTAAATTTTAGACAATGTTTGAATTAGAACCCTACTTTACATCAATTAATATTAAAGTAGAAGGGAAGGTAACACCTCGGTTATGATTGAATGGATGTGAGTATTCCATCAGTTTTTCAGACATGATCATTATAAAACGGCCAATATATGTGATTATACCATAATCAAAATTAAATTTCACATTGATTTAAAAATGTTAAAAAATTTTGAATTTTTATTAGGAGAGGGGCCTCAAAAGGGCGTTATGCTTAGGGCCTCTAAAGGGTTTAATCCGCCACTGGGCGGTATCAAATATTGATTGCATATCGATTGAGGGCAGATGTAAACAAGTACAAAGCAGAGTTTATGTAAATAGTAAATAATGGGAGTAAGTATTTATAGGACAGTAATAATATAATTGAAGAATTAAACAGGTGGCAGGTCATATTTTTTATTTATAGAATGATCGCACTGAAAGGTGATCACCGGGGAAGTGCGAGACAATTATGTTGTTGTTAGTTTGATACGCATTGCTTTGAGTAACCTGACTCTCGCCCACACAGCTTTGAAATTATGGAGAGTATCTTTGGCAACACCGCCATGAATAATGTTACCGTTTTGCTGCAGATACCTATAATCTCACCAACTTTACGGCACATTTTAGTTATTCAACTCGGTTACTAGAGGGCCAGGGTATCGCCCTCCCAGCGCTGAGTAGATTCAAACTATTTCACAATTTAATGATACGCTGCATCTCTTATTATTAGTTACTCTTTGCTATAGGTCAATATGGGTTCATAAGAGAATAACCTGGTGAATACTCCTAGAAGGTACCACATGTACTTTAGAATGAATGAAAAACATTCGATTGTATATTGACGTGACAATAATGTGTCTCCGGATTTACAATCATATCTTCTGTTTTGATACTTGAATATTTACACATTTCCTTCTTAAAAACCAATACAAATACGAATTATCGAAAACGAATTAAAATTGCTGTCGTACCCCTAGGATATTTATATCAAGGTTTTTGGATTACAAGGAAATAACAGAAATCACAGTACCTTCCAATTCGTATTGAGGTGGCGTCGATCACTATACATTTGGTCTTGGTTGAGAATTCCCCTAGGTGAAGATCCGTATTCGTTGGTATATGAAGTTCTTTCCTTACGGGAACAGAAAAGTCTGACATATGTTGACAAATTTGACTTATGTTCCACCCGAATTTGAGTAGATTCACGTGCTTGCTACATGCGGTTTCATTTCTCCGCTTTGTGAGCACTCAACTTCTTACGTATACACCTATTTATCTCTCTTATAATTTAAATACATATCGAAATTAGTATTCGTCGCTAAACTCTACGTGCCTCATATGCAGCCCGCACGAAAATCCAACTCACAATGATAATGCACTTTCCGCGGTTTCTACGTCCCGATCAACACGAAAATTCATACCAGACCTTCAAGAAAGGCTGCCATTTGCTGTTACGGTAGCAACCCTTAACAATTTCGCATTTCGCGACCAAGTTTCTCAAAACGATTTCTACACTAAAATTCTTCTTCTTCTTCCTCCAATTTTCCCCCTTCCTATCGTTGGCGGGATATAAATATTAAACAGAACCGACTTTAGTTATCGCCCACAAGAATCTGATAGCTCTCGCCATCGCGGATTCTTATCTGTAATCGTTACCAGGATAAAAATTTAAACGGAACCAACGTAAAATATACGACTCGCGTCTGTTTTTCCAAACTCGTTTTGCTATATCCATTAACCTACTCGAGATTTCTGCTTGCACGGAGTGGTCCATACTAAATTCTCTACGGTCGTAATTAGGGAATGCAATACCGGGATCGCGGGATCCCGACATACCGGGATCCCGCAGAATTTTTGCGGGATTAATCCCGCACATAAATGGAGCGGGATCCCGCGGGATTTGCGGGACTGAGGAATTTGTCGTCCAAGGGGACGACTCTGTTTGCTTTGTTAATGAAACGCATAACGGAGAAATTATTTTTAAAATAATTGTTAAACTTTTTTTCATTAAAAATGTACTATGATTTTTGAGGCACTTTAGAAGTTCACCTTTTTGTCCTTTACAGGTGATTTTTTTGAGTTCTAAGTTAGACTTTTGTTGAATATTGTGATAATTAGCGATTTATTTAAATACAGAAGTTAACCGCATAAAATTGCTTATTCATGCCAATTTATTTAAAATTTTGCGGGATCCCGCAAATACCGGGATCCCGCGGGATTAACATCTAACGATCCCGCAAATACCGGGATTGAGATTTTGCTGCGGGATTGCATTCCCTAGTCGTAATATAACCAAACTGGAGAAAAATTGGAGAAAAATTAATTGCATAGCGAGCCCCCGCTACAGATGTCACTTTTTAAAAGTGTAAGACGTAATGGTGAAATTTCTGGGAGGGAAGATTCTGCTAGCCTATGCCTTTCCGGGAACAAATACCCCAGGAGCGAGTTCTCTTAAAACCGAAAATTTCGCACTTCACTTTTCTTGGTTTTTTTAGCTTCAAAACCTTTCTAGGTAGTCAAGATTTGGGTTATTCATTATTTATGATTAAAATTAAGCAATATTCTCCACATTCCAGTTTTTGATGGTCAATGGAGGGGAAGGAATTGGAAGGCATAGTCGACATAATATGTGGAAAGTAATGAATGGCAACTCACACTGCACGTACATTCAGAACCGAAAAATTTATGTTCACAGTTCTGCCTCTCATTCTGCTACAGTATTGCCATCTTCGGTAGTCTCTTCACGGCTAAAAGTCGCGGTTGCCAGCTTTGTATACGGGGTGGACCCTCTCAGTCCAGAGAAACAAAATTTGGTAATCAACCAAAGATCGAAAAGGGTTAAGGTTTTAAGGATTTTAATATTCGGGACCCATTATTCAAAGTATTAACGATTTAGGATTACCTTAGTTAAAAATAACTACAGTCAGGGTTCAAGTATCTCAAAGACGCATTATCCTCGAAACACAAAGTTACAGCTTCTTATCCGTATTAAGTTAAGTCGCGTCGATCCCCATAGATTTCGCCTTGGTTCAGAATTACCCTAGGTCAAGGTTCGTAGTCGTTGGTATATGACGTTTTTTTCTTTACGAGAACAAACAAACCCCGAACTTCAAGCTTCATTAGTTTCAAAGCTTTTCTAGATAGTCAGAATTTGAGTTTTTCATTATTTAAGATTTAAAAAAACGACATTCGCGAGATTCCGGTTTTGAAGGTCAATTACAAGGCCTTGAAGGGCAAAGTTAACGTTTAAGTTACGGAACATGTGCAAATCAGTGAATAGAAACACACTGCACATATATTTAGAAGTGAAGGGTTTTGTGTTAACAGGATTTCACTCCTCGAACGGAGAACTTGTCCATCGTTCGAGAAATGCCAGATGAGACTCGAGATTAACCACAGTTGCAGATGTCGTAACTTGACTACAGCATTCCCATCCTTGGTATTGTCTACTAACGGCGAAAAGTATGACTTTACATAAAACACGCCCATACAAACATCAAGCAATTGGCTAATTTCAACAAAATCGAAACGAATGAGCAAAGTATGTTAATTAAACTGCGGGCAATCGAAAGCAAAAATTAACCATTATTTTCTATACACGTTAAACAGCATTGAGTTTACTATTGCCAATTTCAGAAACAAAGTTTGAAAGTTATAGAAACATGTATACAAAACACAAATAAATTATAAAGAAATGCCTGCATTAAATAACACAACAAAAAACACAAACTTAAGCGATCATCTCTCGACGATAATTAAAACTGCTGGCCAGATAATTTAATTTATCGTAGTAAATAATAAAACCGATTATCAATTTAAATTGAAAAAATACCTGTTTGGATGATGTTGCAAGACTGTTTTCATCTTTCAAATTATTTCAAACTCCCGCATTTTACAGGACAACTAAATACTGCATTTCGAGTTTTGGAACTAGCGAGGCTTTTTATAAAAAGTAACGCTAATACGTTTAATGTTAATGCAAATTGTATTTACATATGAAACAATGAGATTGTAATTAATAACGTCTGCAACCTTACTTAAACAATTAAAACTAGACAAAAAATAGTATTCTTCCATTTGATTTTAGAATGCAAATGAAACGTTTCGCTTTGAAAAAGAGACTTCTCCAATACAGCGCTGCTGTAACTGGTGAGTGTTTGTTTCTGTTGCATTTTTTAACTGGAATATCGTGCCCTAGGTTTGCTGGTGACTTTCTGTAGCGGGCTACACTTTGGATGGACTTCGCCGTATTTGCCCGTACTTCTCGGTGAAGATTCCCCAATTCCGATAACCGCGGAGGAATCATCTTGGGTGGGTAATATGTACCTTTTGGGCGGTGTGAGTGGTAGCCTTTTGCTGAGCGTTATCGGGCGCCTAATTGGAAGGAAGACGCTTCTGTTGTGGTCAAGCGTGCCGTTTTGTGTATCGTGGCTGGTAATCGCGTTTGCCACTACGTTACTAGAGCTATTAACCGGTCGATATATAGCAGGCTTCTGCGAAGGGGTGGCGTTTCCGATCCTTGTGATTTACCTCAGTGAAATATCCGATGATGAAATACGGGGGATGTTGTGCTCTGCAATTACGGTCTCCCTTTATTTGGGTGTTATGGTGATTAATGTGATTGGAACGTATATGACTATCAAAATGGTGTCGCTGGTGTGCCTGGCAATACCTATACTCCTCTTCGTCCTTTTTTTTTGGATGCCCGAGTCGCCCAACTATCTACTGATGAAAGGTAAACACGAAGAAGCAAGACAGAGCTTTATTG